GGGTGGTTGATAAGATAAGATAAGTTGAGATAAAACCCTACTTTATTATTCCTAAGGGAAAATTTTTCATGGCTGTACAGAACCGCAAAAACACATACAGGTATACGACATGTACCTTTAAATTATATATGACGCTCATTAGAATTCAATATGAAAAGAAAAGTAAAGCTGACAAAATGTACATATCCCTTCAGATGCATCATTCAACCACATGAAGGAATTAAATTACAAGACCTTTAGAGGTATATAGATACATACTCGAAAAAGCAATACAATACTTATTCTGACATCGTCGCCGGCATTCATCATTGTCGTATGTCAAAATGCGAGGTTTTCAGGAGAAGCAAAAAACTGTTTCATTTCGAACAGGTTCTCGATAAGATAAATATTGTAACATAAAATTACGTTATTTTCGGCGCTGATTTCAAAAATCGAATCAAATTTTAAATACACCAGCTACATTCTCTGTTCTACGACATACGACTTTGTTACTTAAAATTTTCGTCAAGTACAATGTATCAAGGCGACTTACGACAATAATGACGCAATTGAACCCTGTTGTAAGTCGACATACGACAATGATTCTTGACGAAATATTGTCGAAATGAAGAGAACCCGTTATCAGTTCATTGTAACACACTACAATATGTCTGCAACTCCAAGAACATGTAATAGAAATGTGTTAGTCAAACTTAGTACCAATGTGCTGTATTTTCAAGGTGCAAATAGAATAATAATAGTATAAATGGTTTGAGACAGTTAAACAACGTAGATATCTCTCAGACATTCTTTATAATTCTTCAGAAGCTCAACATTTTGAAACTTGTGTGGCTTCACAACTAATATCTATTACAATAACCACCTATTGGCACCCTTAAAGTACAATTGCCCTGTTACTAGCTTTGGGGAAACAGTAGTAGTAGAGAATCATGTCAGCGAACCTCTCTTTTCAAATCATTTATCAAGCAAATGAATAAAAGACGAACATAGCGGTGACTGCGGTGTAATGGTTAGATGCTTCGCCTTCCGTGCGTCTTTCTGATGAGATTCGTCCCCCTCAGCCCGGGTTGGTCCTGACAGGCAGGGTCGAAGTCGCCCTTCTCTAAACGGCCTTACAGTGTTAAAAAGGGACGTTAGACTAAAAACAAAAAAGACGAACATAGAAGTGCGCATATTTTGACTAAATGGCCAAATAAGACATTGATTAGATAATATAACATTAACTGGAGAAGCTACTATTTTCATGTATTATGTTTAACAACTCAACAACCACCTGATGACCAGATGCACACATTTTGATTAAATAACCAAATAACACAATGGTTAGATAATGTATTGTGTAGTAGCTTTCAATGTTCAGTTTCACAATTCAAGAGTCGCCTAGATGACTAGATGAGATATTGATTAGACATTATCATATTTTAGAAATTATTATTTTCAGTTCTTAAGTTTTTTAAATGATAAATAAACAGAAAAATGAGAATAGGGTACATTCATCTGTATCTCAACAGTATATGATTAGTTCATACATGTATAATAAGTATTCTTTTTTATCCAAGAAGCTTAAATGCATTAAGTAACGGCAACAATATGTACTCAAAGTTTAAGAATGATATGGCAATGTGAGATAAATGTCAAAACATATCAAGAAAAACACAAATGAATTTAAAATCTACAAACACAAGATTAAACTTCCTACAAACCCTGAAGGAGACTTGTACGCTCATAATGGTGATTGTAAAAATATTCAAGAGGTACAAAGATTAACCATAACGATCAACGAAGACAAGGCAGGTAGCAGAAGTTTCAATTGATCTGAAAAGTATGACAGCACTCTTCCATTACTTTTCAGTTCGACTCATACTCTGAATCTGCCGGATAAGCAGCCTCTCCTACATTTAAACTCTTGTAAAAAGCATGGTGTGCTGTGGGACTGATTTGTCTGTCACACATCGCACGCAGGTCTTTGCTCTTTCTGGAATCAATTCCCAATGGGGCTGAATATGCTGGTTCTGGACTCCGGGAAGGATTCATGTCAGCAGGTTCATTTCCACAGGTCGTGCATTTATTCACTACTTGATAGGGACAATGGGATCACCCTTGCGAACCGAATACATGCGGATTTGCAGGAACTTTGCATTTTTACGATCAGTGGTCTTGTTCATGTTGATGAACTCATGCTATTGAAATTCCAAACGTCCTCCGTCACCTTCTCTGTCACTTTATAATGTGATGTGTTTCTTTTAGCCCCTTAAATGACTGTAGCCCACTGTGGAGTTG